TTCTTGTTAAATGGACTGCCTGTTAACACGTTTCGAACCGCGAAATCGCGCGCGGCGAAAAAGAGAGTACTTTTAGCCGTTAGCCAACAAAGGGACTTTAATTCGTAAATTGCGTGCTACATCTGTAATCAGCATATCAGATAAGGTCCATACCCAGAGTTCTGAGTGAATTCGATGTGTTTGAATTTTGTCGTCTGAGAGGGACTTTAGTACTTTCTTGAAAGATAGGAACAAGAACTCAGTTTCTAATTGTATCCGAAAGTATCTATGTTGTACACGATACGCATCATTATTGGAATTACGATTTTTCTCTTTGTATTCAAAGCTAAGAGAAGTTGCGACGTCGCACGCGTCGTTCGCGTCGCCGCACTTCGTTGCAACTGTTGTTCGATTTGTGCTCATATCTCCTAAACAAACATAAGCGGCACAACTCTACAGAGTCATTTGAGCAATAGAAGCTTAGGCCTTTGACTTGATAACTTTGGACTGAAAGAAAACTTCCTGTAAACGTCAAAAAGATCCTGTAGAGGAGCGTGCTACACCATGTGCAGCACCGGTCCGAAACGTGTTAATTGCATTTTTTCATGAGAAAACACTTATTTTTTTTCGAAAACTCTTCTTTCAAGAACTCAAGCACGCTTCTTGAGCGTTGTTAGCTATATCGGAGAACTCTGATTTATGAAAGCAAAGGGATGGTGTTTTACGAAGCACTTTTACAGTTGGCTGTTTGTGTTGCGGGCATGTGTTGGCATAATGTTGGCATTTGGAATAAGAGAGAAAATGCTAACACCAGCCGAAATTCAAAAAAAGTGAAAAAATGCTAAAGTTTTGAGAAAATTCAGAAGAAAACTAAGTGCGTCCTCAAATGTATCAGAATGGAATACTAGAGAATTTATACCTAGATGCAAGATTAAACCCTGTATAGGTCAAGAGGAAGAACAAATTTTCAAATAAAACGTGCTCAGTACGTCTTATCATTGCCTTCCATTCCAAAACCTTTTTATTTTTACGCTTATCATTTCGCGACAAACCGGTTCATCGAGCGTACTTTGATGAGACTTGTGTCCCCTACTTTTTCAACATGATCATTGCTATTTAGGCAGCATTGTTACTACTAAGCGCTTGTCTCAATTTTTTATATGTAAAGCGATTGTTCTGAAGGTAATTTTGCTTTTTTCGAAGAAGCGCCACATCCAGCATATCAGAAATTTTCAAAAGATTTGAACCCATTCGAATCAAATTTTCTTTGTCTTAATGGTTGTGATTGCATTGCATTTGAACTAACGAGCTCTCAGAGAATCATCATACACTACGACTTATTTTTTTCGTCATGGTCGGGTCTCGCAAATTTCCTTCATAGATCACTGTAAGTCGCCGAAAGGGGTGCTTCCATGCAAAAGTTTGCAGTAGACCATGCAGCTCCGCATATCACGATACAGATTTGTAGCTGCTGTCCGCGCGTCTGGAGCTTCTCGGCAACATACCTTATACACAATATCTTTTCATTTCATCGATCCGCGAAAAAGTATCAATAATGGATAGGTAGAGGGAATCCTACAGGATACAAAACAATTTTTCTCTCCCTAATTTACCTTAAATTTTGTTATAATTTATTTGATCCCAAATTTCAAATCTATCAACTCAGACCTCGTAAAACATCGATCAACGAGCAAGTCGTACGTCATTCGATGCAGCACTTCCTTCTTTCTTACGGATGTTTTTTCTTTTCTTTCCGATTCATAAAGTTGATTGCCATAATTCATGTTTTTGAGCAGTCAAAGTCTGTATTTGAGAAGTCGAGACTGGATAATTCGAATCCATGAACACTCATTTGCTTTGTAAAATTGGGTCGAATCATATTAATTTTTGAAAGTGTTAAGGTCTGAGGATTTACTGATGCTTGATGCGTTAATGTATGAATTAGACTTTAGTGGTGTGGTTCTATAGAAACTCTCAAAAAATTATGGCGAGATATGAGAATGAAACAAATACTTTCCTATTCTGCATGGTTTGCTGTATTTATATATATATATATATATATTACTTATTCTTCAAGCGAATGAATGAAAAACAGTGAAATATGACTATGGTTAAGACTGTGTAACAGTTTTTAGTTATTTCTGAGATCTCATTGGCTATTTGCAATGCAATCATAACGATTTTGAAAAAATGTATCAAATCTGAAATTCCGTGAGTCTCGATATAAGGTCTGTGGCGTTTGTTTGAACAAGTCGAAGTTACTTTTAGAACAACATAATATCTCAACGTAGATTGCTCTTACTATCTGTTCTGCCATGTACGCCCAGTGCACAGTTCATAACCAAAAAAATGTTTATCCCATACGGCCCTTAAAGCATATATATTATATTCGAGAAAATCTTACCTCAAATGCATTAGGTACCCTAATTTTACCAGTATAGGACGCGATGATTTTTTTCTTAAATCGAACAGCACAGACAAGCGAAGGACTTTCCGGCTAAAAAACTATATACTGCACTAGCTTGCTTACCCGGCTCCGCCCGGCCCTGTCAAAACACTATGTCAAAGAACACTATCCCTATTCCTGTACGAAGCTTTCCCTGTACCCACGCCTACATGCCAAGAACTATTCCCGCTGTTTTAGTGAACAGCATGCTTGATTACCCCCCTGTGCCAACTCCCCGCCCCGTAGGAGAACTCTGCAAAAAAATCGATAAAATCGATAAAAGTAATCGATAATGCTGAAAACTAATATTGTATTCGGAATCCCCATGCTCGATTACCCCCCTGTGCAAACTCCCAGCTCCGCAGGTCAAACTTTACAAAAAAATCGATGAAATCGATAAAAGTAATCGATAATGCTGACTATAACATAGTATTCGGAATCCCCATGCTCAATTACCCTCTGCGCCAACTCCCGCCCCGTAAGTGAACTCTGCAAAAAAATCGATAAAAATCGTAAAAGCGATATCGATCGATGACGAAAAGTAGCCTATGACACCCGCCGGGGCCCGAAGTGTATGTGTGCCAAGTTTGGTCCGGATCGGTTCAGAAATGGAATTTTCTATTCGGAACATACGTACACACATACATACAGACATACAGACAGACAAACAGACATTCAGCTTTATATATAAGATAATGCCTGAGAGTATCATGCGGCATAAGTCTCGCTCTCCAAAGTAGGCTGAAAGGCTTGCTCAAAAAATCGAAAAAGGTGCGCCCTATGCTTGTGAATTTATGAGTTCAATAGTGTCAGCCACAGCAACACTGCATCGCACTCGTAGCAGAGAAGAAGCTTATTTTTAAAATGCTTTGAATGTTAGCGATTTGAATAATAAACCTACCTCAGCAAACGGGATTAAAGAAGCTGGGCTTGATCAAAATTTTCACCATACTTTGGTCTGAGTTTGTTTCTATCTTATTAAGCCAATAAGCAGATTGATAACAGTATCGGCTAAAGTTTCGCTGTCGTCACCTTCGTCAGAGCCTCGGCAGTCTTCAAATCGAGGACTGAGCTACCATCTCACGGTCTGCACAGATAGTAACCATGATTCTCATCATATTTTTAGAAGTCGTTTACTGTGAGTTTATGGAAAGCTCTAAGTGTCATTAGTCACAAATAACCCCTCTATGCTAATCTCTTCGGTTTTATTGGTCACATGAACTTAGAAAGGATTCCAAATTGCACTGACTATCTGTTGAAATGCTTATCATTACTTGCATCTTGATGAGCTACCCTAAGTTCACGCATACAAGGCGCACCTTTTTCGATTTTTCAAGCCCCTCAGCCGCTCAAAGTATTTCGGACGGCGATCCCCATGCCGTACGATTCTTTTAAACAATATACAGCACGGTATAGGGTCCTTTGGTTGCAAAGTTCTTTGGCGTATTTGGGCTAGTCAATTTTGGAAAAAAAAATCCCCCGCGCCTTGCGCGTGAAATTAGGGTAATTCCAAATCTATTTTCCAAATTTGCTAAACAATTAGGGAGTTATGAGCGTTCAAAGGTCTTTTTATGGCAAACAATCACTGCTTTATATTCAAGATTAGCTGTTCAAAACACTTATGTAGCACGTTGCGACAGTGTGCACGCTATGCACGCCCTGACTCTCAAGCACTTTCATGCATCAGTGTTTTATGTGTAAACAAGAAGCTCTTAGGAAACTTCTATGCAGTAATAATAATGGTAGTCTGCTCGAAAGTCTAAACCGCAGCTTTGAATATTCAATCCAATTTGAGTGGTCCAACGACAATTTCACACTTTCGAGCGCCTATGACTTGTACTGATAGCTAGAATCGTGCTAAGCTCAGCAGACGTGACCGGTAGATTTAGAATCAGTTCTTTCTTTAAAAAGCAATGCTTATTCCAGAAAGTGCCGAATGGTATTTCTTTCCTTGAGCGGGAATGTGGGTAAATGTTTACACACAAAGCGGAGAACCTTTCTGTGAGCCATCACAAGCGCATTTGGAGCACACCTCCAAGGCAGAAAAAGGCTTCAGAATTGGTGCACATACCCCCTTAGCATAAAGCTCAGTTGCGTGCCCCTACAACGTTGGGCACTGCCAGAAAAAGGAGTTATATCGCTGAAAGGGGAGGACCCGCGCGGAGTCGGCAACAAGCGCACACGCACGACTTGTTGCTGTATCAGATCAGAGTGTATTAGCGAATGGAACACTACTTCGCAGATGCTGCAGTGTAGAATCTTGGGTCCCACGACGCTGCATTTAAATAATAGGATTGCCCCTTGTTTGTTGTATTGAGGGGGCAGTCGTGATTTGCAGTTTGGGATACAAAAATTACAATACAAAACGAAGACGCATGATATTTTAATCCAAGTAGACATGTCTTATGATAAAGGAAGCGCATTCGCGAGGTCAATAGTTTTATGAGCAAAAGTGCTTTGATTACGTTTTCAAAATTCCAGACCTTTCCTTTGATTCTTTCGTTCCTTTGATTCTTATTTAATCTTTGAAAATTACTGTAACATCCGGCAAATTAAACTGCACTGCAACCATTACCTGGCCCTTCATTGCTTTCATATTGGGTCTTACAAGATTGACCATTATGTGGTTCAGTAAACTGTTAGAAAAATGTGCTTGATTTCAGGTCACACAAGCAAGAAAAGTAGAAGAAAGTATGCTGCAGTGGCACAGTCATAAATACTAGTGTCGGCATTTACTCCAGCAATCTCACCTTAATTGCAAATAAGCATAACACATTTCTATAGAATGCCTACACTTTCATAGTCCGGAGTTACGCTATGAAAAGTTACTGCAAAGATGAAGATTGAGGAGTATGATACTCAAATACTTTGCACGTTGATTGATGCAACAAATGTTGTGCCTCGAAGCTTTTTTTTTTGTAAAGTTTGAGGTAAACAAAATAAAATTCGAAAAGTCTTATCACTAAGAGATTTTTTACAATGTTGCAATGAGAAAGGAAGTTAATTTGTTATCTAAGATACACAAACGAATTTTGAATGTTTGTCTAAGGGTATCTATTTATGAACTGTGAATTAAGGCTGTTGTATCAAAAAGATGTCACGTATTTGTTGCAGAAGAAGAGATTATTGAGCGACCGGTCAGTTTCACACCGCAAACAAGATTTTGCTCATCACTCATAAATCATTACCAGCGCAAACTCAAAAACCTTTAGAATTCATCCAAAAAGAGTTATCAAGTCTTCTAACCCACAAATTTATATACTAAGTGGTCCTTACAACAGTTCATTGCATTCGTGCATAAAATACTTTCATGTTTTTGAACGCAGAAGACGGCATTAAATAGGAATCATTGGGACACACGCTGAATATAAATTTATAATGATAATGCAAGATGTCTCAACCTCAAGAAAAACTTATTGTAATACATAGAAAAGAAGGAGTAGCTACTGTGCTGGTGATTTGACTCACTGACTTTGACTTTGACATACTGCTAACAAAAGTTAGCATATGAGTCAAATTGACCGCATTAGGTATGCGCAAGTGAACTCGTCGCCGAATGGTAGCAGAGAAAAAGGAAGGTTGGCTTTTGAGGTAGAGAGCTTTCCCTGAACTGGTACTACCTTTCCTTTTATAACCTGCCCCAAAGAATTAGGGAAAGTCGTAAAGATAAAGTCGTAAAGATTTTCAAAATCGTAAAGATTTCGAAAAAGATCTCCATCATTAGTCACATTATCACAGAACAAGAAATTTGGTCACAATAGTATAGTGTGTGCAAAGTAGTGTCTTTCCAATTAATATTATGGAAAACTTTATGTGTAAGCGAAGTCATCATTTTTTGTTCACTTATGCGGTTAGGATTTAAAGAACTGCATAGGCTTCAATTCGCTTGATACCTTTTTCTTCGATAAATGATAAGCCACAGCGTTGGCTCGATTTTTGTCTTGCAACTGTCCATTAGTGGCTATCATGTTGAATTGAGTATAACAAGCCTTTTTACCATTACTTCGTAGTCACTGCAATGTAGACTTTAAGTTTTGCTAGACAAAAGATTGTGGTCTGAACGTTTTACAAAAAAGCTCGTAAAGAGGCAGGTTCAATTTCTTTTATTTATTCCTAGTATTTAGCAAACCATTTCACCAATGGCCGTGGTCGCTGCAAATTCTTGACTTCAAGTTTCAAGAATGTAGTTACACGGTTTACAAAAAAGCTCGTAAAAAGACAGGTTCATTTTATTTTATTCATTTGTACAGTATTCTTATGTAAGTTTTCAACATTGACCCGGTTGACCCGAAAGTTTTGTCGCACCATCTCCAAAAATTCCTAACTTTTAAATTTCGCAACCAATTTGCTTTAATTTTTGTTTGAAAGAGCAAGTCGTTCTCCTCATAGGTGTTTCTTAGCGTCTTCGTCTTCTTAGTGGGTATACATTGCGTAGTTAGAAGCGATAGAAGAAAATCACTCAAATTTTTTTTCTGTGTAGGATCATAAAAAATCCGAAAATTGCAGTAAAAATTGGAGCCGTCAGTATAGGTTCTATTACCTGCTCCTTCTAACTGTGCGAAGTTTGCGCTGGTTCAGCATCTCCATGAAAAGTTATGAATTTCGAGAAAATTGCCAAAATAAATCAAACTCGCTCTTTTGTATTAGCCTTACTTGTAACCGTTCGGACAGATTTACAGCTCTTCGCTTGGGAAGCCGTTTGAGGAGGTCAAAAGTTGGCGAGCCCTCTTCCTTGAAGACCCCCTTCCCGCTCGCCCAGGGTCCTGGCAGATTCGTCTGTCAAGGTTAAGTGGTCAGCCAGCCCTGGTATCTTTGACCTTTCACTGCGTTCGGGTAAGGGACCAGGAACTCGGCGAAGGTATCCTCACCTACAGAAGAAGGAGAACGACGTGTTGGTCTAACGATGGGTTTTTCCACCTGTCTACTTAATCATTTATGAATACTTTTTATTAGTTGGTTGCCGGTTTTTTTGCCTTGTTTTGGAGCACCTTGTGTGTATTTAAAACAAACAAATAAATAAATAAATATTGGGCTTGCCACGTTAACATTCCCTCTAATGCTTGTCCAAATTGCTGTCCTGGAGACTTTGAACAAGATGCTTAGAATCTTAATTAACCATTCACTGCGTCTTAGTCAGCATGTGTCCTGCGTCTCCAAATCATTACCTCGTCTCCTACAGTTTTTTTCCAGTTCTTAAAATTTCACCGAATATTATGTTCTCGAAATTATAGTGTACTGACATTTTTTCTCGTTTGAGCTTTGTTATTTTTGAATGTTTTTGTTGTGCTCTTCCTGATTTTCGTATCCTGCTCAATGTCCGGGAATGAGATCAGAATCCGCTAGGCACGCTGAGTTAAGGTGACCTTTTGGGATCCTCATTGACCGTTGCCAGGGGTGCCTAGCGGATTGCGTTGATCAAGTTTATCATTCAAGCCCTGGTCTGATTTCACTTTACCAAACATCCGTAAGGTGATCGGAATTTTGGTTGCTTTCACCTACCATACTGAAGAACGACGTTGCTACTGATTTATCTGCATCGTGATTCTGTTTTTACCCCTACATTCAGTCTTATTGACCAGCCCACCTCTGAGTGTATCACATAAATAAATAAATAAAACTACTTGCTAAAAACAACATTTTTCTACACTTTCCATTCAAATAGAAAGCTAAAGAGGTGAAGACAAGTTAATGTTGTGAGTGGGTTGTATTAGGTTGTCCTGAAAGGTCGTTTTATTTTTGAATTTGTAACTTTGCGCTATTTCGATTTGCAACGGATTTGCATCCTTAGAATTATGATGTAAGAGTAAGTCTTTCGCTTTCGAATACTTTCCTTCCTAGCTTCTAATTCACACTGACTGCAGAGATAAAAATGAAAAAAGAAGACCATATGAACTTTCATCATTTTAAGTTAGGTCGCCAAAAACCTGTACCGCTGCGGAAAATTCTGAAAACGTAAATACACAGGTTTTTTGACCTATTCTTTACAACTGTGAAAAGATTGTGCTGTTTGGATGTGTCTGTTGAAATTTGTGATTTTCGAGAAAAGTGAAAAATTAATTGATCTTGGCATTTCCTGTAATATAGTCGAAATCCGTAAATTTACGTCCGAACAGCAACAAACTTTTCACTGTTGCAAAGAATAGGAAACCTGTGCGCTTACGATTTCAGATTTCTCCGCAACGTTTCAGACTTTTGGCGACCGAAAGCGAAAGACTTACGCTTTTAAATATTAGGTTGTCCCATAAGTCTTTTCATATTCGGACCTTCAATTTGATATTTCTCAAGAACTAGGGCACCTAGTAAGCTGTAAATTTTTGACAGTAACTCTGAGTGGATAAGCTATATAATCGCCTATTTTCGGGGAACACAGAACTGATACAGGCAAAGTTTGAAATTTGAGCGCATTATTTTTTTCTTGGGTTCTAGCCATCAGAAAATGCAGCAAGTGCATACATAAATATCCGATGAGCAGAATATACGCATGAAAAAGTTGGAAATCCGCAGAGTTGTTTTGAACTGAGATATGACGATTTTCATTTTTTCGGAAATTCGGAATTTTTTTTGTCTTGGCTGGGAACTTGAACGGATTGAGGTTTGTGCGAACTTTTGAAGGTCATCTTGTAGAGCTTGCTTTGGTTTGTCGAATGGTACCACGCATTCTATTAGAAGATCTAAAAGAACTGATTTATGTCGCTGGAAATTTAGGTATGAAAAGACTTATGGGACAACCTAATAAAATTGAAAGTATGTAAATCCGTTTAGATAGCTCAAAGTTACAAATTTTCAAAGATGAAACGAAGGAACTTTCGGAACAAACTAACATTTAGTGGTCCGAAAATCAATGCGCGTTTTTTACTCGACCGCTTTAACGTAGATACGAAAATATAGGGCAATCATTTGACAGAGCAAACCAAGCTTTACAAGATGGCATTTGAACAAGCTCAATTCGCGAAGTTTGAAAGCAAAAGTGAAAATTTTGAATACCCAAAAATGCAAAGAACTTTGTAAACCTCAAACTTGCCACGTATAGACACCCCGCATCAGACTTCATACGTACAGGCTAGAAGGCTAGAAGCTGAGAAAATAAAAGTTGGCATGCTTTGAGTGCGATGCTGGGCTACTCCTACATAAATAATTTTGTACTACAAACCTTTAAAAGTACAACCATGAACAGCCTTCTGTAGCATTCTTTTACCCATTTTTATCTTTTGTTAGTCATGAAGAAAGCAGCAAGTAAATATATGAATGTCTGGAGAATGTTGAGACATATTCTTATCCTGGCTTTCTATCAAACTTCCTCTTTCCTCATAAAAAAATCATCTGCTTTTATCTTGTGTTGCAGGGACAACACTTCTTGCGCGCACTGCAAAGACGTTCAAAAACGAACCTTTCGCTATTTTCACGAAGGTGATTATTCTTATTGACTGACTTATTGTTACACTGGTACAACTAACTTCTAATAATTGCACAAAAATCCGTACTTAGGGTCAAGCCTATAAGCAGCATGAATATAGTTAGTAAGTTAGCAATCAGAGCCCTGCCTGGAAAGTTTCACCAAGTTGCCAAACGCCGAGAAATAAAATGCTATAAAAAGTACTTTTTTGAAGAAACAGAATTACTGCTGGAAGATGCGGAAGCAAAATCAAGAAAATCCTTTTCTTTGTAAGGGCACGTATGCATCTGCAGGTCTTAACTGACACAAAACCCAAAACCCTCCCTGTCATGAATTAACCTTGTCCATGCTGCCATACAAAGTGCTAAGATGAAAACGTACTTAGGCAGAGGTTCAAATTTAAGTTAAATTATCTTTGAGGTTAGTTAGAGGACGTCATTATCCTTATTAGGCTGCTTTCCATTTTCCCTTCCTTCATAATCAATCTGAGCTCGCTGCGAATGTTGCGTAGAGGAGTAACATCCGTCCGCGTTGTTTATAAGGAGCCTTGATCAACGGGTCTTCTTACAAAGTATACTTTCAAAAGAGCAAGAAGACATGTCGTTGCAAACCTCATGTGAATAAGACACTGGCTTCAAAAATTACCACTACATGAAATCAGCTCACGACTAGTTTGACACAAAATTTTGAACAAGGATATGTGAACAAAGTTGACGATTTAGAGGTTATAAAAGGTACCTTCCGTTCATTCGAAAAGTTCTGTATAATAAGCGAGATATACTATAAAAAGTGAAACGAAATTTAAAGATTGTGCAACTCCTTCAAACGTATTGATGTTTACTTTATACACAACTCTATGACGGAAAATGCAAAATAATCAAAAATGAGGTCTTAATTAACATGCGGACGGAATAAAAATGAAATGGTGAAAGAGATTTACACCTTGAAATTGTATGCATACATGGCAGTCTATCCTCGAATCATTTGTAATACTATGTGAGTCTGCACACCTTACGCGGAAACCAACGGCACTCCTACTTGTAACTCGTCAATAATACCTTTTTCAGGGTTATAAACTGTAAATATTTGTATCCTACTATTTAATACATCTCCAATCAAAGCAAAAGAGATAAGGGAGTAAAGGTTTCTTGGAAATGAATAGATTCCAGTCTTACAAGCCGTCAAATAACGCGCATGATGTGCAATACGCATGCTAAGTTCACATGACTCGACCATGTGCTCATGTGCTAATCATGCTTCAAGAAAATTTTTTGCACATAAAATACCCTGCAAAACGTCTCATTAAAACATAAAATTCCCTGCAAAACGTCTCATTTAAACAACTAACATCATAGATCTAATAAACAGGAATATTTTATTAGTCGCCCAAATTGCCCATTACTGACCAACAATCAACTGCAGTGATGATAGCCGTAAAAGGCAGCAAGACCATTAAGAAGAAGATACTGTAAGTGACATACTTACGAAATGATATGTAAGATGCAGAAAAACACTTATGTGGGTGCGGATGAAATCCCAAGTATCAGACATCAAATTTACCGCTGTAAGAAGATGACGATCGAATGAACACAAACCAATGAATGAAAGCCCATGTAATTGTTGATGTAGGTCGAACAAATGTAGTGACAGAAGTGGAAACACCTAAAAAGAACTTTTTGACAAAATAACGTCTGACTTCATAGCAATTCGAAGAGTGTTTTCAGTCTCGCATTTGATGCATGATATAGGTTACACACACAGGAAGCACCCCTCTGCAGTCGAAAAATTAAGAGTAGTGGAATTTCACCGCTGCTTTCTGCCCCGGACTATTTGTAGTATTGGTACAAATGTTGGGCAACTTGAAAGCAAGCAGATCGGTTTTACTTTTACTTTGCTGTCTTCTTTACTCGAGACTTTGCCGGCACATGGTTATTTCTTTATCCCCATAGTCTCCGATTTCCTTTAAAACTGTCAACCATATTTTTAGTAACCTGTAACGCATTGTTCTTCTCCTTCTTTGTTTGAAAGAAAAAGTTTTTCCCTGATCATGAAGAGCGGTTCTGTGCTACTAAAACAGCTTTACTGCACTGCACTGCGTTCTGTCTAAGAGGGTCGCATACATTGACGCAGAGGAGCGGAGTTGGAGAGGGGCGGCTTAAAAGAATACTTCATATCTTGAAGTTTTGGACATCTAGTTTCTCGTTGTTTATCCATCCTGTTTTGAGTACCCTTCACTACAAACATCTTGAACAGGAGCAAGAGTTGGACAAGCTGCATTTTCTAGTTTCGTATAATCAATCCCCCAATGATCCCAACGGCCGACCGTCTTTTCTTCAAAATATTCTTCTTTCTTTCAAGTCGATGAAAAGGTTTCAAAGTTGCAATGGTTTATTCAATGTGCTAAGCGGTTTTTGATACAAAAGAGTCAACGAAATATTGAGATTTTTGATAAACACTCCACTCTGCGGTTCATCGCAAACAAGGCCTCGATACGTTATTTGTTCCTCCCTTTGCAGAAACTTTTGAGAGAAGTGCATCGCGGACTTAATTTTGTTTAGAAGAGACTTAGCAGATTCTGCCCATGAGCATAATTGATGCCGCAAATGCACAAATGACCAATAAGTTCGCGGCAATCTCGTGAGTACACTTAGACATCCAATTTTCTCTGACTTTCTTCTCAGCACTTACTTGTGCTTCTCTTCTATACTTCTATAATCTTTTGAGAATGTATTTTGGCATTATCTCTTACATGGGGGCACTCCGGTGCCTCTATTCGAGAGAGAGATTGAAAGATATCAAAAAATTCAGAACATTTCTTACTTCTTTTCAGATGCATTGTGTAGAAATGATTACAGAATTTGAGAATGATTTTATCAAAAGTGAACCTGACAAATGGAACGGTTCTTCTCTCATTGATTAGTGTTCTTGCATGAACCATCACTTGAAACATGTGCAGTGCCGTGACAAATGTTCAAAGTACTTACTCAATTTCGATAACAGAAAGCTATCACTGCATTACTGTATTTCTACCTGCTCATGCGGCAGTCGCTCCGATATGATAACTTTCAACATTCCACAGCGGATACCCAATAACTGTTTCCGAAGAATTAGAGCAGAATAAAACATGAATAAGGTTTGAACCATTGCAAATACTAAAAGAAAGCTCAGGACTGCAGGTTTCCACAGAAGAAGAATATGCTCAAGGTTGTAGTCACTGGCATATAGGAAACAGAATACTTTATACGACGTAAAGAAATTGAGCAGGACATGCGAAGAATACCACACACTGAAAATATAGTTATGACTGTACATCGTCATATGCAGTGCACAGCATACTGGTATGGAGCTCTTCGAGCATTACTTGAAAATTTTCATTCCAGCGGCATAGTCTGATAAGTAAAAAAAAATCCAAAACAGCCTGAGACAAAATATTGAAACACTCTCACGTTTATTTGCATGGCTGGTATCACAGAAGAAGGGATACTTAATCAAACCATCCAATCCCTACCAGAAATGTACACCAAATCGACTTGTCTTTTAGCGCTTAATCCAGGTCTGTCTTTCGCATCATGAGCGTCACCGGGCCAAAAGTCATGTAGTTCATTGCAAAAATTCGCATTGTTAGGATATCATTAAAAATCTTTCATGCTTTTCAATCGAGCGATAATTTGGAGGTATTAGTGCACTTGGTTTCAGCTAAATAAAATTATACGTGCTTCAAGACACGGCGGAAACACTTGTTTCATGTGTTTCACGCGCACCAGTCTCGCATTCGCTCATCTCATGTGCGTGACCGTCTTTGTCATGAATCTTTAGCCCAAATACGCCCATCCACCTTTATGGACACGTAACAAATTGTTTATATATATATATATATATATATATATATCAGTGGCGTACCCGGGATTTCGACTCGGAGGGGGGGGACAAAAAAAACTTTCTAATGAAGGGGCGTGGCGTTAGCCACGCACTCCGAAAATTTTTTTGGGATGATTCCCAAAATTTTTCCGGGCCCCTGACCTCAAAATTCCAAAAAAGGGGGCGTGGCTCTCGCCACGCCCCCGAAAAAAATTTTTTTACAAAGCTAATTTGAATTTTTAAAAATTTTTAAAAATTATTTTAATTGTTTACAAGTAAAAACAAGTCCTCTGCACATTTTTATAACACATTTAAGTAACTTTCAAAGTTTCACGACCCATTCTCGGGGGGGGGGGCCGCGCATGCCATTGAAAAAAGCTGATCATGCTCTTTGGAATGAACTTATTTATCGATGAAAACTAATGTACTTGAATTTTTCACCCTTGAAGACGAAACTCTCAAAAAACAAAAAAGCAGTCGCCACCTGCCCTTCTCTTGAGAAATTAAGTTTTTTGCACGACTGTGTTGCCTATCATGGAAGATGGTGTTTGCAAGCCAATATAAGACAAATGAAGTGGCTGGAGTTGAGAAACGAAGAGTTATTCAGAATGTTTCTGAACAACGCTTTCGTGGGACAGGCAGAATGTTCGGCACGAAAAGATAATATATGCAATCTATCTGTACCGTCTAAACCAAATCCCTAATTCAAAAAAGCCCCAGCAGACAGGTCTAATGAGCTTTCTGCAAAATTATGATCCTATACGGCAAACTTCGTCAAAATTGTTGCAAAACTTGACAGAGAGGTACATTTATTTCCAATGTCGCTCTAATAGATCATCATCTGTTCCATATCCTAAGTCCGAAGCGACATATGCTCCAATTCTTCGAAAGATCTCAACTGTTAGTTAGACGACTTTTTTTGGAATTAGACGCGTTGGTTTGGAAGAATTCGAAATCTGATGGCAAGATAGCAGAAGACTATGCGCAACTACTAATGAAAGATTTTGATAGAATCTTGTCATTTTTTTGTAAAAGCTCTACGAAATTCTGAACCGACACAATGGATATCATATTCAAATAGAGAACACACAATGAAAAAACTTAGCGGGCTATCTTTGCTTGAGATTTTTTTTTACAAACCGTGTCATCTCAGTATTACGAAAGACTGTAGTGCGACATCTTTTTCTGATATATGATCAACTGCTACGTTGATTACAGTCTTAAAATGTTATGTATTTTTTTCTGTTGCAGTATCATTCATCAACACAACACCAGTTAACGCGTTTTGATAACAATCTCAACAAATTTCTGAGGGGTTTTTTTCTCAGTGACACACATATCACCATACCTTCGATAGTCTAGAGACAGGGCGTCAAAAGTGAAGGTTGTTTGAACATCTGACGTCATAAACAGTGAAGGTTGTTTAAAGAATATGAGAGAAGAGAATGTGACGTAATACAGATATAAATAGCAAAAAAACTGCTGAAAACCATAAAAACGCCGCAAAGAGGTCTGAAATCTTTCATTTGGCGGCTTTTCAAAGTGCAAGTTTTCGCTCCAGGACCATCAGTTCGCAACACGGGGTTTTGATTTTTGATGCGTCCTTTGAATTTTTACCCCCGCATTGACTTCCTGTTTTCTGGGACGTTGTCTGGATTGTTGCGCTTATTGTTCTGAGCAATCATCGCCCAAGCTGGAAAAAATCGATGCGAAAGCACTGAGACAGAACAAGGTAAAGAAAAGCACACTTTTTACGGTTTTTCGCAAAAAATTCCGCCATAATCGAAGAGGTAAGGGCTGGGCGGTCGTTTGCATTATGAACAGAAGCAAAGTCTATAGAATGCACGAAATAACAGCGTGAAAAGAGGTAAATTAGGAGAAAAACAAGAGATTTTCGAAAACAAGGTTTTTGCCGGATTACTCGATCAAATCAAAGTGGGACGTTGTCAGCGTAAAAGTAGAAATCAAGAGCTCTAAAATGATATATAGCTTGCTAAAATTGGGTTCGAAACAGCCAAAAAAAGGGTACCAGAGCCAAATGCCCCGCGCCCCGCGTTTGGGGTAGCGAGGTAGCGCGCAGCGTGCGGAGACGCAGACGAGCAGTGGAGATAGACCAGAGCCGACGGGGCATTTGGCTCTTGTAGTAGATCTCGTCGGGGTCTCAACGAAACTCCGCAACATTATATATCATTCTGATCGCCATGACACGGCGAGGAGAACTGACAATGTCTCAATCTTCAAAAATCACTCATTAACGAGATAGACCAGCGTTTTCATGCGCGACTCTCTGCGCAAGATTTTATAGGCACCGTCCACCCAGATTTTCGACTTCCACGTTTTTGTCGTTTCAGGGCCTTCTCACGTCCCTGATTCCGAATATGAAGTCGAGAATGCGCGAAAACCCCGACAATCCCCGCTCCGAAGAACCCACAGGCCGGCTTTCCGGAACTGTGATTGGATGGGCGCGCACAAATGGGCGGGCATGGATGGGGGAGGGCGGGCATGGATGGGGGTCCTCGTGCATCTTCGCTATTCCGAAGCGATTTTCTCGCTTTCGAAGCGGCATTTTGCGCCGCGACTTGGGCAGTGGATTGATAGGGGGCCCTACTATTATATGCTGCCAAAAGCTCAACATCCTCAACTTAGGGTGGACGGTGCCTTTAAGCGCAGTTTCTCGTTTTTATTCAACTCCAATAGCTTTCCTAAACTTCTGACTCTGTTTTGGTCAAATGTAATTGAGAAATTTTGTTTTGAATTCTGGCGAAGATTCCACAGGAACCTTTTTTTAAAGTAAAAAAGGCTAGAAAACCCAAATTCTCGGTTTCGCTGAGATAAGCTAGAGATATTATTCCCTATATTTGCTTCATTAACATTCGTTCCGATATAGTCAGGATAATAACATTCGGGGAGAAACCCCGGATGACTTTTGTTTTTTTTCCAGGTGAAGGTTGTGGTCCCCCAGAGCCCTCAAAGTGAAGGTTACCAGAGTACGTGGCTCTAGTATCGAGGATATGCATATCACTGAATGAGTTTTGCAACGTCGATCATAGATCTGTCGTTATCTGCTAAGCGGTTGTTTGAAAAAGTTATGAGTTTCTTTTCGCACCATTTTGCACACCAAAGTATAGTCAGAATAATTGATATATGAGTTTTTCGAGGATAAACGCAACTGAAACAGGTTATCCGATTTTGAGTAATTGCGCTCTTCTTCAGATGTTCTTCCGAGGAGCGAAACAAGAAATTTGAGCGATGCTTATGATTTTGCTATAAGGGTTCCTTCATACTACGCGCAGGACGCGCCGTGCGTGGCGTACGCCGCTGGAATCGCTCTGAAAATATACAGGGTGTTTGAAAAGTTCGTGTCCTTAAGCACTCCAACTGCGAACGCTAACTCGATTTTTGCTATATGTCTTCTCCAAACCTTGAAACCACTGAATCAACAAAGAAAAATATTTTTTGCCTTAAAATACCCTAAAAAATTTGGAAGTAAACAATTTTTTCAGCTTCCTTGGAGAGTGCGTTATCTGAGTTGTTCTTTTTTTTTCAACGCCGGAAAAGGAAAACAGCTTTTGGTTTTTTACTGCAAATAGTCCTAGATTTACACTTTCTTTATATAACAAAAGTTCTTCAGTAGCTTGCTAAAGAAGATTTTTCTATGCGCTGAATCACAGCATACAGGCGCGGCACCCCGTTTGCGCTAAAAAATTTTCAGTTTGAAAAAATTTGGAAGTCTTTTTTCAACATGTATTTGTAGCACAACTCTCTGGCCTTCTTGTATTCGTTTTCGAAAATTTCACACGCTTGCAAAGGTTTTTAAGATAAGATGTAAAAATTTCGGTGCTGGACTTTTTTGACGAAAAAATCCTGAAAGTGGATCGATTGGCTTTCGAGGTACGATATTCTTTGAACGAACTTACTTCTGCGAAAGTGAGAGCACATTTAAGAAACCTTGAAGAAAGAGCTTTTAGAAGGTATACGTACTAAGTTTTCTGAGAATTATGTAAGGTACTAAGTTTTCTGAGAATTATGTTTCCTTTTTTGTGACAAGCGTTTTGAGGAAAGGGGTTTGGAAAGCTATTCTGATGTGTTTCAATCTAATAAAAAAAATCAAAGAAACCGCAAAAACACCCAATTTTTACAGAAATAATGATATTTAGGTCTGATGAGCACAATAAAACAAAAAACGCGTCAAAATTCGAATTGGAAGTACTTTAGGCCACGAACTTTTCAAACACCCTGTACGTTCACTGCAAAGGCTTTTCGCTGGTTATGTATGTATCTCTATA